CTTATCCTAATATACACAAATAATCGGAGTAACTTACCTCATGGTATCGAGCATCGAAAAATATCGTTGATCTATGCGTTATTTAAAAACTGAACATAAATATATATTGTAGAGAGCATAGTTCGTAAGGCTTTTAAGTTTGTACCTCAGCTTTTGTTTTGAAGAATTGGTATGCTGGAATAAATACATCATTAAATGGTTTTTCATTGCCTTAAATTGTGTTGTCATGTAAAGATCTAATCTGAGATAGGAAGATGCTCCCAAGTTCCGTGATAAGATACGTTTATGTAATGTTTGATAGTTTTTAAAATCTGTATCAGAAAATCGCACCCTGTTATTATTGGTGACTTTCCTACGAATTTACGTGGCCAAAAAAAGATTGTCAACACAGTGCGTGCTCAATTCTCCGAAATGTGATCAATTATGTAACAATTTTCGTAGAAATTAGATTCTTTTCAATTATACAAGAGCCGTCATAATTATCCACTTTCAAATTTAATTTACTTTTTTTAAAGTTAAACATTACCTCAATGTAATTATAATTAATTGAGCTTTGTTATTAAATCGCTGTCATAGGCGCTAAACATGACAAATGGTTAGGCAAATAAATGCAACAAATCCATTTTTTATGTAATAGCTAAAATATAGAAATGACTTATGTCATTACATATACATAGGAACTTGTTTGTCTCAATTCATATCGACCTACCTCTTTAGAATATGCTCATAGTAACAATGATAAGAGGTGATTTTCCCGCAAACCAGATGTCTTGGTTCGCTTTGAAGCCATGATTATAAATATGTATATGAGTATACTAATAGTAAATGAATAGAGCCGAGTGTTGTTTGCTTTTTGGCTTATTTGCACAGCTTTTCAAACAAAACCCCCACTACTCTCTAAACTAAAGATTACTAGGTTCTGGGAGGTACCCATTTCTCCATTTGAAGAATCAATTAATTAACGCCTATGGGTTATATGACCCTAAATAGAATAATTTTAAACGGTTTTGTCTGTTTTTAATTTAGCACAAATAGTATATAGTATAATGTAAATATATGCTAATTTAAACGGGTGGAACTTTGAACCGAAACTATCAATATTTAGAGAAGAACCAATGAAAAAGCTTGACTTTTCAATACCCTAGCTTATTATATATTATCTAGTTATTTATTTATTTCTATATATTAATTTTATTTTGTATTCTTCTTTGAAAATGTAGAGCATTGATAGTTGCGATCTCCAGCCTTATATACCCCTAATGCCAGCTGGCCATTGTATTTTTCCATTGTTGATCTCCCACGGAGATGGCAGGTATAAAAATGGGCCACATCGCGGGTTGTTCATCAGTTTTCTCTCATTCGTCGAGCAATCAACATGACCGGAGTAAAATCGTTGTACTTTTTGGGCCTGGTTCTCATGGGCTTGGTTGCCATCCATGCCGATGAGCAGGTTGTCGGAGGAGTCTCTCAGTTGGAGGGAGACCGCAGGAAGGAGGCCCTCACTCTCCTGGACGCTACCCTGACCCAGTTGGCCACCGGAGATGGTCCCAGCTACAAGTGAGATCCTAACATATGTCTAACATCTGATTGTAGGCTAACACTGATTTTTGTGTGCCTCCCGATTTCAGGGCAATTAATGTGACCTCTGTTACTGGCCAGACTGTTTCTGGAACCCTCAACACCTACGAGGTGGAGCTGGACAACGGATCCGACAAGAAGCAGTGCACCGTGAAGATCTGGTCCCAGCCCTGGCTGAAGGAGAACGGCACCAACATCAAGATCAAGTGCGCCGGTGACGATGGCGAGTTGGACCGCACCTGGTAAAGGTTGTTTTCGCTAGAAAGTCGTGTTTACGGCCTATAAAAAACTCCACTTCCTATGAAAAGGTTTCACTTTAAAATAAACAAGGCTCATGGCTGTATAACCCCAATTTTTTAATAACCAAATTTTGTTTACTATACTTGGGGTTTTCAGAAACGTTGAATATAATAGTTACAAATTAGGTAGCTCCATTAAAAATTTGTTTCTATTATTCAGTGTTCAATTACTAAGTAATTGCAATATACTAATGATAAATATCGTTTTTAATTTTGGAATAAAAATCAGAACTTGTGGCTTTTAATGTATTTTCTTTGTTATCGTATTGCCTCTCTTACTCATCATATTTCTCATTTCCATTGTTATCTGAAACCATATAAGCTTTTACTTTACAAAAAGCTTCAGTAGTCGGGTCTCAATCGCCGAGACCGGAGCATAAAAAGAGTGATATAGCTTTACATTTCTTTGTGAATACCTCGTTAAACTTTGCTGCCATAGCCATGTCCACCGGATCAATTCCAGGAGGTATCACCCAGCTGGAGGGAGATAGGAAAAAGGAGGCTCTGGATCTCCTGAATGCCACGCTCACCCAGTTGGCCGCCGGAGATGGACCCATCTACAAGTGAGTTAAGTCTATGTTGTGACTAGAAATTACCCTTACATGTCGGCTACTCTCTTTGAAGGGTACTTAAAGTGATCTCCGTGACGGGTCAGGTTGTTGCTGGAACTCTCAACACCTACGAGGTCGAACTGGATAATGGAACCGTCAAAAAGCAGGCTACTGTTAAGATCTGGACTCAGCCCTGGTTGAAAGAGGACGGCACCAACATCAAGATCAAGATTGCCGGTGAAGATGGAGAGCTCGACCGCACTTTTTAAAATAATATAGGACTAAACATAACCTGTGAAATATGTATATGTTTGAGGAATCGAATATATTCGTACGAAATACATAAGTATTATATTACAGTTTACCTGAAAAGGTTTTCCTACTTTGTTTCTGCCCTACCTAGGGTGACTCCCCCATTCTTACACTCAAACTGGCCATGAAAAGGTTGGATTAGGGTTGAACAGGTCCATAAAGTAGGTTAAGAAACTATGATACCTGCGAGTTCGTTATTGGTTAACCAGTTATATTGTCAGAACCAGTTTGTTTATTTATCTCAAATAGTAAATCGGGTTCTCATTCTCTCTCCACTATTGTGTGAATTCAACTAGTCAACATCGATATCATCGGATGGGGCGTTGGATGTTACAAAATTTAATGCCCTCTGAGCTTTAATTACTTTGTGGTTTTAAATAGAGTTTGTTCTCTTAACACGAGAGAGCAAACTTTTCTATTGTTAATATAGTTTGATAACTTATCAGCTCCACATCGTTCTACAATGGTTTTTGATAAGGCACGACTTCTGCAACATATATGTAACCCATTCGTTATTTGAAATCGCACCATACATGTGGGGCAAGTCCACCCAACAAAATAGACAAGAATAAGCTTTTTAATACTTTTATATTTTGATTTCCACTTTCATTTGTTAAATATAGTATACGACTTTTAATTATCGGAGCGTTATTCACTTTGTTGTGAGGTCATTTTTCAAAATGATATTTTTATTGCTCAGCTCTGGAATTTCCCATATGTAATGTGTAAAGTACTTACGATTTGTTGCAGATATCTGGACTTGTTTCCGCACACTCGTTTTGAAATTATTTAAATAAATAAAAATTGTATCACAACGACGAAATGAAATATGTCTGTTGATAAAGAATTTGTATATGTTTTGGTTTTTAATCCACCCTGATCAGAACTCAAAAGCTGACAAATGGATCGACTGAAATTACCGTGGTAAAAAAGGTAACATTTTAAAAACGAACTGAGCTGTTTATATAATCGAGTTGCTCTGTTGTGTATTTATTTTACTCTGTGTTCTTTGTGACTGTTGACACAAAGATCGCCTTAAATAAAGGCATTACCGTGCGGTGATGATAAATCGAAGTCGAAACCACTCCTGACCTGGGCAAATAAGTAAAATGAAATCATAAAACCGCAGTCAAGCCCAAAAGCAAATTAAAATAGAAGGCAATAAACTAAAATTAAGTAAAAAGATGCTAAACGAGCCGCTTCATTGTCGCCGGGTTCAGGTTTAAATGCACACTAGCTTCTCTCGTTCCCTAGCGGCCGGTTGGTGCTAATCGCGAATAAATAAAGAAATATTCTCGCCAAATTCTCCGGCAATATCGGTTTCCTATAAAAGCGGTCTCTAAGCGCGGTGTTTACTCAGTTTGAAAAAAGTGTTTCTACGAAAATGCAGGCCGTGAAAGTGATCTTTGTTCTGAGTTTGACCCTAGCCGTTGCCTTCGGTGTGAGATTTAACTGATTTTTATATTTAATGTATGAATTATTTTAATTATAATAATTGTGTGTTGCAGAGGAAGCCTCTAGGTGCTCCAAAACCCCTAGAGGGAGATGATCTGGCAAAGGCAAAGGATCTTCTGACCAACACCCTCACCAAACTTGCAGCAGGAGATGGTCCCAAATACGAGTAAGAATATATAATTTTCAATTTTCTTTTAGATAGCGATAAAAACAACATTGGAAATGTTGGTGATGGTGATATCATATTGCAAAAAGCAGAGGTCTGTTATTAAGTTTTTGTGAGAACTGTGACATAAAACGCAAAATACATGGTATACATTATCATGGTAATGCCAAATTTTAAAAATCTTTTATACTTAACGAATATAACTACGATTTTTTGGATTTATAATTTCAAAATCTTATTAATTTCAGAGTGGTGGAAGTGACATCTGCAACTAGCCAACTGGTGGCTGGTTCTCTGTACAAATTCGAGGTGGAACTTTCCAACGGATCTGACAACAAGGAGTGTACCGTGACGATCTGGGACAGACCATGGCTGCTGGAAAAGGGTGAAAGCACCAATATTAAGATCCAGTGCAAGGATGAAGCTGAGATTGACACCACCTGGTAGTTTAAGTTCCTTGGATTTATTAAAATAATTGTGATTAGATAAAAAGCGCGAGCATTATAACTTGTTATTCCCAAAAAATTGGCCAATGAATCTTCCAGATATATTATATATTTCGGTGAATCCCTGAAAAATTTACATTTATATAATAAACAAACTTTGATCTGTGATAATTAATTTCTACTGATTGTGGACTAACCAGTTCCGTAGTGGGTATAAAACAGGAATTATTATGGCTTATAGATTTCAATAGGTCAAAGGAAATAAAGTGTTTTAATGGACATTCACGTTTTGCGTTAAAATGAGTTAATTAAACTGGCGAGAATGTGGCATTAGTAATAAAAAATCAAATACGAAACATTTCAATATCAAAGTTCAAGTGAAATGAAAATTTGAATTGAAAACTTGGATGTATTCATATGACTGACAAGGTTAAGATTGTTTCCAGATGTAACGTCACCAACTATCTTTATGGATGACTTATAGAACAAGTGGGATATGAAATAATTCAGTATAGTTATTTTAAGAAAAACTGTAGTTAAGACTTTTTAGGAATTCCTTTTTTTAATGCTTTTTTCTTTGAGTAAATTAATAAACCCAATTATGACCGCTCAGCCGTTCCTGGTGATCCTATTGTTCCTGCGGTTCCGGCGGTTCCTCCTGCGTTGATTTTGACGGCGACGTTGACGTCGTGCCCGCTGGCGACGTTGGCGGTTTCGGCGGTTACTAGCATTCCTATTGTTATTGCTTCCGTTTCCGCTGTTACTGCCGTTCGCAGAGGTGTCGCCGGAGGATCCTGTCACAGGACTTGTGGCATCATCCGCTGAGGGAGAGGTACTGTCTCCAGTCGATGGAGAAGTGTTGCCATCAGTGGGAGTGGTGCTGCCATCTGTTGGTGAGGTGCTGCCATCAGTTGGGGTAGTGCTGCCATCAGTTGGGCTGGTGCTCCCATCAGTGGGGGTGGTGCTGCCATCAGTGGGAGTGGTGCTGCCATCAGTAGGGGTGGTGCTGCCATCTGTGGGAGTAGTGCTGCCATCAGTTGGGGTGGTGCTGCCATCAGTTGGGGTGGTGCTGCCATCAGTAGGAGTAGTGCTGCCATCAGTGGGAGTGGTGCTTCCATCGGTGGGGGTGGTGCTGCCATCAGTTGGAGTGGTCGGATCATCAGCCGCATTGCTGTAGCTCGAGAAGCAGAGAACCAAGAGGCCCAGGCCCAAAAGCAGAGTGGTTGTCCGCATAGTTGATATCAGTTCAAACGGATGTGTTAAGATGATAATCTTTGCATCTTCAGCGATGGCTTTTATACCACTTGTACAGTTCATGGATCTTTTGTGAGGACGGTCGACAGCTGCGCCAACAAATCGATAGAATGGCAATTTTCAAATTGCCAAATATCTACAGCTGTTAAAATACCACGCAAGAAGTAGTACAAAAAGCTTTTAGTATCTTTGTTATTCCATTCTTATTAATAAGTTAGTTAGTTAAATACAAGCTGCATCACATCTTTTCGATCAGATATGCTATAGATCTGGGGTGATATTGTCGTTGGTGGAAAGCTGGTTGGTAGGAAACAAGCCAGAGAGATTGTAAAGATTTCGTTGCTCGAATTTAGGCGCTATTCAAAAATATGTAATATTAAAATGCAACTGGAGTCAGAGTCATATTTAATTTATTTGAATAACAACCGTTAGAAAATACAATATAATACTTATGTTTAATGATGTTCTAGAAAATTCGATGTTTCTTAAAAAAACATTACAACAAAAAATTCACCTCATAAAATTATAAAGAATTCCCAACAATTTATTTAAGTGTGCAATGCTATATTTTAATCAACAATATATTTTTCTTCCCAATCGTTTTTTCTAAGAGCCAGCTGCGTAAATTTTGCATTAATCTTTGGCTGAAAAGCTGCGTGCCTATAAAAGCCCAATCCACCAGATGGTTGGCGCAACCCGAGATCAGACGTTCCAAGATGAAAGCAGCTACCATCCAATTCGTAATTCTCCTCCTGGCATCTGCCCTTTTACAAAGCTACGAAACCGCCACACCAACCACAGTGGTGCCCACCACCACGAAGAACTTTACTATAAGCAATTTGCGATATACGAACATTCGTGCCATCCGCGTCAATGGAACCCGCCAAAGCAAAAACACCACCGGCACCACCCAAAGAAGGAAGAGTTTATATCACATTTTAGGAACCATTATTATCGGTTGGAAATCTGGCTTTTAATAAAATGCTGAGACAAAATTGTATGCCTTTCGGTTTTATTCAGGGAATATATCCTAAAAATGATTTATGCAATGTGGTAATGCGAACTATGGGTTGTTGCTTATCTTCCTACGTTAATATCCTTAAGTTTGTTGTAAAATTACATTTTTTATTATTTTTATGTTTTCTTTCAGCTGAAAACATAGCATTCTTTTTGGTAATCGGTTGTAAGTCAATTTAATTTTGAGGAGCGAAGTTCAGGCAAATATCTTTTGAGTATCAGTTCAAATTTTCGCCGAGCCCCCCGATTTAAAACAAATTGCCCTTTTTCGAACTGTGTTCTATGTTAATTTCTTGAACCCATAGTCAAAAACTTGCAGTATATGACCATAATTACATTCCAGTAGGTATATTATTATGCTTTGAAGTAAATCTGTTGACCTTTAATATTTGACTTTAAAGTTGAAATCTTAATCTGAATATTTGGCTGGTACATTAGGGTTTGTAAAACATTGTGTTTTTCGTGAAGTTTAAGAAAATTTCATAATATATATGTAAGGTATCAGTTATATCATAGGAAAATCAATAATTTATATTTTTAAGCTTGGCCAATTTTATTCATTTGATTGATAGTCATTTACATTTTTAACCAACCCGAACACGAATGTTTCCCCGATTATTTCTGGAGTTTCCCCGATTATTTCTGGAGTTTCCCCGCCTGGAGTTGTTGTTCCTGCGGTTGGAGTTCCCTCTGGTGACCCGTCTTCCGTTGTTCCTGCCATTGCGATTGGTGGATGGGGATGAGGTGTTGTTGAGGCGGACGCGACGGGTGATGGAGTAGTTCAGGTCGCTTATGGTAACAATCTTCCGGTTTCCGCCCGTGGAGATGGGCCTGGTGGTCGTGGTGGTTGTGGCGTTGGCGGCTGCCTCGGCCACGCACTCCTCGTTGGTGGGATCGGTGGTGCAGTCGATGCATCCTACGACATTGGGGGCGGCGCTGCAGGTCACCGCATCGCTGCTTTTTAGAAGGCAGGCTGCCAGGACGAAGATGGTGGAGATAATAGTGGCTGATCTCATTGTGGATTAGCTGACTGGGGTTTGTTGATTGATGGTGGTGTCGTCTTTTCCAAAGACTTTTATAGTGGGTCGATCGAGGTCGGGAGGCTCAACCTACCCAACGATTATTGGCAGAAGGTACGCAGCTGTTTCTACAAAAACTCTAGATTGTTTGTTAAGAATTTGCCAACTATCGGTTTTTTTTTAATTCTTCCATTTTACCAACAGTGCTTATATTATTAGAAGAATAATACAACTGGAAAGCTTTCGTTGATAATAACCTTGAATACAGTTTATTATTAACTTTCTATCCTCAAGATGATAAGTGCCATCTGCGAATAGTTTCTAACTTGCAGGTTGAAGGTTGGAAACATAGCTGTTCTATAGGTTTTCCTTTGTTTTTATTAGTTTTTGCAGAGATTATCATCATTTCTTTAACTAAACAGATGTACAAAAAGAATCCCAATCCCCCAATCTCCCAATCTTTTAATGATAATAACAAGGCATATTTTTGGAATGCACTGTGGGATTTTATTGTTGTATAAATTGTCGTTTATAAGTTTAAGTATTAAAAATTGCATAAAATTATCTTGCCATTTCAGAATTGTAAATGGTTTCGTTGTTGGAGATATTTCTTAGGCGGATCGTCGGTTCTGACGCCTTCGCTCTTGAGCTCTCCTTCTTTTTTCCTTCTTTTTGGCAGCCTTTCGTTTGGCCGCCCTTTTTTTGGCCGCCTTTCTTCTAGCCGCTTTTCTCCTAGCCGCCATTCTCTTAGAATCCTTTTTGTTGTTAGTCGCAGTATCAGTATCAGTATTTGTTACCCCGGATGAGGAGGAATCTTTGCTTAGAGCACTTGTTTCTGCCGAAGGAGACACCGATGAGGACTCAGTGGAGCTTGAAGAAGTTGAACTGGAGGTGGGGCTGTTAGTGGTGGAGGAACTGGATGAGCTGGATGAACTGGAAGACGTGGAACTGGAGAGATCGGTGGCCACCGTGGAACTAGAAACCACCGTGGACGAAGTAGAACTGGAGCTAGAAACAGCCGTGGACGAGGTGGAACTGGAGACTTCTGTGGACGAGGATTCGGACGAACTTTGCACTGCAGAAGACGATGTGGAACTCGATGATCCTGAACCATATGCCAACCCAAAAATGGTCAAAATTAACCAGCTCCATAAAATGAAAACTCTCATTTTCGGTCCTTTTTGCAATACGAATACTTGAACTTGTTCTGGACAATGATCCTCTGTTCCAGATGCATTGCGTTTTTATAGCTCCCTGATATTTATTTACTCTAGATCATCCCAATTAGCTAAGAATTTATGCAGCTTGCCCTTTTGTTAGACACATAATAAATGCAATTTGGAGATATTTGCGTAGACTCGAGTGCAAATAAATGTGTTTTTGGCTGCAAATATGCGTCAATTAAATTTAGCCAAAAACAACTCATTTGAGTGACAAATATTCATTTGAGTGCAAAATATGTTAATGAATAATTGGTGGCTTTGAGTGTGAGATTTACGTGATTTTATGAATCTCGAATTGTTCGCTAATGTATAGTTTTTGTTTTGTATTTTCTAATTATCATGACGTCACATCTTACACCGAAGCGAAGCGAGAACAATGAACGAGAATATTTTATATTCATATTTCGCAATTGTATTTGCGATCCGCTGACCAGCTCTGATTTTTGAATTAGTTTGCTTTTAGCTGATCAGCGAACGGTTGAGCCATGGATTTATACAGATTTTTGCTGCTGTATCTGGGATTTATTTCGATGTCTAACGTTGTGGTGAGTTTATCTATTTGAGTATATTGTATATATTTTATAATTTTAAAACCATTTACAGTTTGCGATTTGCATTCCACCCAATCACTGCATTGAAGATGTGAGTATTACATCCATTGATTACATTTGATTTGTGCGGACCTGATATGTATATAATTGATGTTGATATTCTGGTTTACAAATTTTAGTGAATTAAATTTGATAAATTACATTATAATTTTAAATACATATAAATATTTTATATCAATCCATTTATCTGTTTTTTTTAAATATCAATATTTTTTTTAAGACCATATCAACTATACGGAATATTCAACATTTTCAGTTTTTCACTCCTTTTAACTTGTTTCCCCAGTTAATGAAATCTTTTTCGCCTAAATGAACCCAATTTTCAATCCCACAGATGGAGGACGCAGATGCCAAAGAGCGATTCGACTACGTACTGGGCAAATATGAGGAGCTGGAAATGAAAATTCCCGGAAAGCCAGTTGGGTGAGATGAGTTTTCGCGTGTGCCTGGTAATCCGCTAATTGGCTTTTCATTTGGCCCGCCGGCAGTTTGCATGGCAAAGTGGTTACGCATGGCGAGGCGGAGGAGCAGCACTTGGTGTTCCAGTACATGGACAACACGCTGCATGACATCATCCAGACGTGTGCGTTTGTGGTCAGCCGGACTCCCGGCGAGTGCGAGATCATCCGGACCTACTGCTCGGCCTTCCTGGGCCGCCTGCCACGCCCCCTGCTGGAGCGCCAGCCCATCGCCGTTTGTGAGGATGGGGTGCGGGTGGCAGAGGAGGAAGCGGAACCGGAAGCGGAAGACATCCCGGATGCGGATGCCCAGGTGGAGCAGGAGCAGGGAGTTGGTCAAACGGAGACCACAACATCGGAGCCAGCCAACTCCAAATTAAGAGAGTTCTACTGATGTGAAAGTTATCAAACAGGGGATTATCCCCCTTCTGCATTTGACACCCACTTCATTTAGTTTGCATAAAGTGGCTGAGATTAACTCTCCTTAACAGGAAATTGGTTTTGGTGCGGACTTTTAATTAGATAGCTCTAAAAACATTTAACGCTTCAGCACCGTACTTTGTATTTTACTACATTGATCCATAAATACTTTGTAAACAGACTAATATTTAATGTTTGCGATTATACTTATCTATTTTTTTTGAAGAGTTGAGATATCTTAAAAATAATAATAATAATAAAAAAATCGTAACTTACATTTTACAAAATGAAAACATTTTTTTTAAATATATTTGAGCGTTTCTTAGCTGATCAAAATTATATTTGTCCCTAGTTACTTACTCGTTTTTCGGGTAGTTAATGTTAAATTTGAACTCATCGCCTAAAAGTAGGCTTTTACATATGCCTACTAACATTTCCCCTTGGCCACTCAATGTCACGGCATTCCAAGATTGAGTTAGGAAGCTCTGACAGCAACAACTATGCGGCTTTTAGCTCAACTCAACAACTGAAGGCCCAAAGACTAGACCAGGCCAAGTTCGGCGCCTGCGCCGATCCCACAGTGCACAGTGGGTAAAACATGAAATATTTAAAGAGGATAATTTATGCAATTTAGATAAATTTATAGTTTGTTTTTTCATGCAAAGAACCTTTATAAGGAAGAGCATAGATTATCTTCTATATTATCAAATTGTATTATAACTTTTCAAAACATTGTTTATTTTTTCCTAAGAAATGTGTGGTGAACTTTATTAGGGTGATTAAATATAAGAATTAAATATTTTTCGATTTTTTAAGGTTTCTGTGGCATGTAGCTTTAAAGAAGCTGAAAAAAACCCCTCATAATAATCATTTCTCTTGAGAAAGTTACAACTTTATAGAACTTACCATCCTAACCAATTCATTACTTTGGAGCCACTGTGGGTCTCTCCAATGCGTGTGGGAACTCTCTTCCCCAAAAAGGCGAGAGCGAGAGAGTGGCTTGCGCCAAATAACAGTAAACAAAGCCCAGCTGCTTCAGCTGGCGGTACAAATTCAGTTTTCAGTTGTTAACGGGGCGCCAAGGCGAACTGGAGCAGCGAAAACGAAGCGCCGGAGCTGGGAAAAAGCTCCAAAAAGGCTGCAGACCCCCAAATCAGAGATAGAGAGAGAGAGAGGTGGAGAAAGAGAGATAGCAAGGGGCAGAGAGCGCAATAGAGAGAGAGAGCTATCGCTTATAAAGAGAGCCTCCCCGAGATATTTAGATTGTTATTTGGCGACAGTGACAGTCCCGCACAGAATTATCTGCTCAGTGCTAAAGTTGAACTCGCGCTGCGTAGCTCGTGTGGGCAAGAGGCAAGGCCGTTTCTCGACACGCCCACTGGCCACCCGCCACCCACCACCGCCCCTTGCCGCCTGCCGCCTGCCACGCCCCCCGCCAGCTGGGAGCAGCAGCTGCTTTTCAGTAGTGAAGTGGAAGTGTGCGTGCGCGTTTCGCGGCAACGGAATTGCCGCCGGTTGTAAAAAACGCACAGGATAAAAACGAATTAAAATACGTCGAGAGTCCAGTCACTTTTGCATAATCCAAAAACGGGGAAAAGCTAAAATTTAAGCGGCGCGTAAATATACTATTTACTTTCTCGTGCAATCCATTCCAACCTCCCCCCCACCCCGCGCTCTTATCAACGAACGTGTTATCAGCAAACGAAGCGCCACAAAAACACAGAAACGTACTAAAAGCAAAAAAAAACAAACAAAATATATATGTATAAAAACCAAAATGAAAAGAAAATGCATTTGAATGCGTGAGTGTGTGTTTAGGTGAGTATTAGCGCTACAATGGTGTGTGTGCTCGAGGGCCTGCGGCTCAGCTGAGTGCTGAGTAAACAAACAAAAACCAACCGAAGCCAAACACAGACCCCAGCACAAATACCACCGCAAATACCATCACCTCTATATGTACGAGCACCCTCTCACCCCCCACCCATCCGCACACACACACTCGCACGCAATTATTAGCGTTCCCCAAATCCCCCAGAAATGTGCGAATTATGAAATATTTTACCCTTGAATGTCATACGTATTAGAATTAGTAGCGGGGGGCTACAGAGCGTTACTTTTTAGCAACTTTGTAATACCCGTATATGGTGGGGTTTAAGGGAATGCTCAGTTCCTATCTATGAAGAATGTTTACTCTTTATATAATACTACTCGGTTCTCAGGAGAATCAAATTCTTGATCTTACTTAACTCTAATAGTTTATCACCACGTCGTTATATCGTCGTTATATAGATATATTTCAATGTATATTTATGTTTTTCAAAATATTACACTTTAAGGATTGTAAAACAGGGAGACAGAATATATAAGAAAAGTTGTATACCTTATTTTGTTTTCACATCTATAAAAATTATACAAATACATTTTTAATTGAACTACCAAATGTTCTCATAGTTCTGTTGCTTACGTGTAGGATTTACATTGTCGTAAATTAGCAAAAGATATTGTAGAAAACACTTAAAGCTACTTAAGATTACATATGTTCATCTATAATACAAAGTATTCTAGCTAATGCAAGGCAGCATATGGCGAATATTAAATTTAATGGGACATTGTTTTGTTACTATCTTGCCACTTGATAGGAATGCTTCTTTTGAGGAACTCCAATCAACTCACGTACTTCAGATAACTTAGATATAAATTCTTTTAGTAAACAAACCAACCATCCGATATTTTCTAATAGATATCCCAAAGTCGGGACAATTGAGTATAGAACTTCGACTGATTTTTTCGTATCGCCCCGTGGTGAATCGAAAGCAACAACCCAGCATGCCCTCAAAAACTTTCCTGTAACGTGCGATGCCTAACGCAAATTATTTGAGAGCTTCTTCAACGCATTTTGCCACTTTTCTTCTCGCGCGCAATTTTCTTTTCGGCCGCCCTTTTGGAGACCGGCCAAAGTGTCTGTGAAATCCATTAAGTTTTGTTTTCGTTTTTTTATGAACAACATTGACTTTGTCAACGGTACGTTCGCCATCATCCCCTGCATCCTCACGCACTTTTCCAAAGGGCAACTGTCTGAGCAAGTCTTTTATTTTATTTTAATGCCCTCACTTCCCTTTGGAGGGTTTTTTACAAAAATGTTGTCAAATTTATTGACTCACTTTCGTCTTTGTATTATCCGGCTTTATCCGTCTGCTGTTGTTTCTTTGTTGTCCCACCAGCGAACGTGACAAGTTATTTCAAATTGCACAGGAGCTTTAAGGGTCATAAACTCCACTCTTGACAACTTTCGAGAACTCCAATTAGGTTAATTATTAGTCTGGCATAGTAATATGCGGGTGCTATCTTCTAGAACGGAACTTTTCTAGATTGTTAAGGAACTATTTCGAATTGGTTGCGACGTTACATTACCACGAATGTCAAAGCAAGGAAGGTATAATGTGTTTCACATATTGCATTACCTAAAAAATAGGTATTATTTTAAAGCTAGAGATTGCCCATCAAAATATAAGTAAATTATAAAAGTAAAAAATTAAATTTTCTTAAAATATTAGAGTTTTCATAAAACCATTATATCTTAGGGCTCTTAATATGAAAATGTGCCCTGATGTCCCACTTTATGCTTCACATCCACTTAGTTAGCAATTGTTTTTCGGTTGCCCTCACCTCTAATGAAGATCTGTATTAGCTAAATGCTCGGGGAGGTGTATTACAAAGTAAATGGAAGAGCCGGCTAAAAGCTTTCAAAGTGCCGCGCCGCACCTGTCTTTAGTGGCCCGCTCTCAATCTCGTGGGAATCCCCTGGTTTTCTGTTTGTCTTTGGGTTTTCCGCGTGTATGGCGGATAAGGTTAAGGTCGCGCGGATTTATAGTATATGAAGTCCCGATTTTCGTGGGGCCCGCTTATAAATAGTCCCCGTTCTCGGCGATTACCCTTCGCATGCAATTTTCCCCGGCATTTGTTTGCCCTTCTTCGCATCTCACTCGCTCTCTTTTTCTACCTTTCTCTTTAGGGCCCGGCACGTGCCTTTCACTTGAGGGGGGGAAATGGAGCATTTTCGCCAGAAAATCCAAGGCCCTAAAATTCGCTCTCGGCCATGTTTATGGCGTCTGCCGCTGACTGACGTTCATTGGCTTTTGTGCGGATATTTGTTTTTGTTATTATTCCGCCATGTCCGTGGTCCTTCGTCCTTCATCATTGGCCATAAAACGGTGTCTCCGAGCACATTTCGCTGGTCGCGTCGGCATCTGCGGCTCTGGATCCACCAGGACTCTCTGTATCCTTCCTCCGTTTTTACAAGTTTATTTTGTTCCCCAAATTCTGGGGAATTCTTTGCATTTCATTCCTCTTCCTTTTCGCCCATCTGTCAAGTCGCTTCCTTTCCTTCCTTTTCCGACTTCATTTAATCAGCAATTCATTTATTTAAACGCCTTGGAGAAAATCATTTTTGTTTATTGATTAAGAGAGAGAGAGAAGGATTTCCTTGGCAAGGGAGTATAAAGAGATGTGCCAAAAAAGGACACTAATTTGATTTGCTCCTTTCACAGTTAGAACAAAATTAGTTATAAATCCAAGTCTACTTAATTACATTTGACGCCCACTTTGCACAATTTATTTTAAGGCCCAATTAAAGCCACGTTTGTTTATTGTAAAAAGGTATTTGCATCAGAAATATCAAATTTATCACACACAAAAGTTTGTCCTTAATAAAACTTACTTAGCGAATAAAGTGTCCTAACCTTGATCCTAAAAATACAAGAGATTATTGAATTGTTTTGCTTTTCTTTAATTCCCTAAAAGATAAAATGTAGCTCTATATCTTATTTAAAACTTTAAGTAATGGTAAAGAGGAAAATTCGATGAAAACTAATTAACTTTTTTTGCCAATTTCTTTACAGTAAAAAGCCTGTAAAACTTATTCACACCAAAAAAGGAACTGGTAAGTCATGTTACGTATACGCAACGTTGCCGTTTAAAATCGCTTACAAACTACGTAAACAAGCCCAGCAAAAAAAAAAGTAGTAGATGGAGTTCGATCTATTAATAGTTGCCCAAAGGATAGTTGTAAACTTTTGGCCCAGCTGGGGAATCTTTGCAGAAGACACTATCGAAGACGGATGACACGGGCACGCCCCCAATCGCTTTTTCTTATGTTTTCTTTATTTTTTTTCGGGAGCTCTGGGCAACTGGTTCCGCTGCAGCTGTCGTCGGACTTTTAGCTGCCACTTTTGGGGGTATGAAACCACATTGGCAAAGAAAAAACAACCTCTATAGAACGAAATTGGGGGAAAAACTTCACCGTTAGCCGTTTTGTGCGGCGCTTATCCGTCTTAGCCATTTTGAGTCGCGATTCAGCCGCCACTCGGCGATATTTTTCGCAAAGTTTTTGGCCACGTTTACATGGTTTCCTCTTCCCCGATTTCTTTGGTCGCTTTGGTGGCTTTTTGCCGGAAATAACACACGAGTGCGGCCAAGATAAGGGGTGTATGTACGGTATGTTAGCCAAGTTCGCTTTTTTCCGACTCCCTGGGCAAAAATTATTGTCTAAGGTTGTGTCGCTGGTCCCACCAACGCATAAATTTGACTGTCCCACATGTCCTGCGAGTCCAATTTTTTTCCTCTCCCTGTTTTTCCCCCTTTTTCCCGGTGCTCTCGTATATCCTGTTACCGCTTTCAGTATGTTTTTCCCCTTTGTTTTTTCTTCCATTGTTCGGTCCTTGCCTTTTAGTTTTTCCAACGACGTCTATTTGCACTATTTTTAGACCAACACTTTTATTTTGGTTGATATTTTTGTTCTGGCATTTGTGGTGCTAAAAGTTGACCGTGTTGTTTTCACATCACTGGTTGTGGTGGCCCAAAGCCAAAGCCAAACCCGAATTGTTTACAAATGCGAATTCCCAATTAAAAGCTTTCGACTTTGCTTTTGCTCCATACCTCGCCCGCTATCGATTATATAATAATAAACCTGCCTGGCCACGTGGCGCCCCAACTTGCCACGTAATTATACTTTCATTGGGTCGCAAGTGCCACTCGGCTAGAACTCGTTGTGGCCGGAAGGCAATTACAGGTAATTTTAATAACATGGATTACGCATACGCCGCGTGTGCCACTCGATGGTATCTGAAAATGGGTCATGGCAGACAGCCAAATGTTTGATATGATAATTGTGTTTAGTATAACAAGTGATAATAAAATTTAAAGTTGTGCTGTGCATTTTTAGCACCAACCATAAATCAATTTATTAGGAATATTCATTGGGTTTGAGATAAATGAATGAACGTGTCAAAAGCAATTGACTGTTCAGGAACTAAGCCAGTTTGAACCGAACTCGTCAGAAATAATAATGCATATATTTAAGCTGTCAAAACTACTATAACAATTTTTAATATTCCTTTTAAGCTCTCCCAAATATTATAAGCCAGGGACTTAAAGACGTTGAAATAACAGGTTTTAATTAAACCGAGACTTTGGTTAATCTTACAAACTGTTCACTTTGAAGCCCGCACACACACTCAATTACTTAGCCCGACTTTTCTAGGACCCACGTAGCTCTGGAGCTGGAAAATCGTTAGCCTGGTTTTAAGACACGCCCACACACGGCGAAAATGTCCTTTTGGGGAACCCAGTGACCGAGCAGCGTCGGCGTAATTAAATTATTCCACAACAATTGCCGCTGGAACAAGAGTCGCTCATTGAGTTAATTTGCGACAAGTCGAGGTGGTGATGTCGACGAATTCACTGCCGCCAAAGTTTTTCACTGTCCCTTTGCCCCCCGCTGAACTTTTCGCAGAAAAGGATTAATTAGGATTAAAAGTGTGTCGAGTGGTGGACAAAAAGCGCCAGAACGGTTAGCCCTTAAACTACAAAGAGGCCAGCTGCGGTGGTCTCGAAAAAGCAGGGAAAACTCGGAAGGAAAATAATATAAAATGAAATAAAAATGGCTGGATGCTTTCTGGCGGTTGGCGTAATCGTGCGGCATAAATAAGTCAACCAGTTGGCCAACAACTTCAACTTGGCTGCCTTATGACCATAATCACGATGATGATGATGATGACGACGACGATGATGACTTCTCATTTTGTGCATGTCGCATTTAATTAACATAATTCGATTTAATTCTGGATTCCCTGAGCTGCCGGTTTTCGTTTAAAGTAAAGAACAATTTATTACACAGGTTCGAATAATTCAGAGATTCTTGTTCTTGTTGATCTGGCCAAATTCAATTGAATTTCAAAATTGGCTTAACCCGTTCCCAAGCACAACCCGAATTCAATTAAAACTAACAGCATTTATCGGTTTTCAATGCAATCAGTCTGGATATCGTGTTAAAATTCTTCACCTGGCCTATATCCGAGTTACGAAGGTTTGATTGGCTGACAGAGCTTGAATTGAAATCAGTTTTATGGCAATAAATAAATAAGTTAAGCTGTCAAATCCACTGCCCACCAGTTGCCCGTTCCCACTGAAATTATTGATTCCATCGATGTTTGAAAACATGGTTACAGTTCGAGACTTTTTTTATGAATCGGTCATTTGGTTTGAGTGTTCCATGAATGCGTCGCTAATCTAATGAAATCATTTTCATTTCCATTCTGCTGACGTTAAAGTTTTAAAGCCCTGAATGGCCGAGGGCAACCCTTTTGCGCTCTCGACCTTTTCGTAGAACTGCCGGCGGACACTATAAACTGCCAGTGATATTAGTTAATGCCCTGATGCGGTCGTCCATGCGGAATTGTTATTATTTAAATGGCCTATTCATTCCGGTCCCTGGTTTGCGGTGAATTTTGTGCAGGGTACAGTAGATGGTTAGGTTTCAACAGGCTTTATATCGTAAATAAATCAGATTTTATTATATTTGTTTTTTAAGATTCTATATTATTAAACTATGGATACGATTTTATTAAAGAATAAACATTTTTGAGAGTCTTAAAAATTTTACTAAACAGTTTTTGCTAAGAAAAGAAAAGATAATCGTATCAAAGGGATTTATCTGTTACGTCAAATTGTATTTGCTATAAGTAATATCGTTATAATATTACTTATCACTGTTGCTTAAAGCAGTAAATGATTTTTTATAATGCCCAGAATAATTTAGTTCCCGAAATAAATCAATTTTAGGGTATTTAATCCGCTTATACCTCCAAAACAGGCAGCATCAACTGCAGAACGCATTTGTTTGGCCCGCAAACTGAGTGGAAAAACTTTTAACTAAAATGGAACCCAAGTACACACAAACATGTTAGCACACATTCAGAAGAGGATAACTGGATGGATATGTAGGGCTGGGATGCGAAACGGTGAATATCGTACTAGAAAAGTTGAAAATAGTGAAATGTAAGCAAATTGTAAATGCTAAAGGATGGAAATGGGAGATAATATCCGTATTAAATGGGAAGAATACGCCTTTTTAGTCACGGTTTTGGGGCGGGAGTATACGACTTCCAAGCAAATGCACACGAATGTATGAATATTTCATTTGGCAAATGTAACTAAATACATAAGCCAGGCCGCAGGACATGCCTCTCATCTTCGTTTCGCCATCAAATCTGCAAAAGGACATGTGTAAAGTGTCGATGTGGGTGTACACTGTGTGTGTGAGCTGCGGTTTTGCAATTGAATACGAGGGTCTGCTCTACCATCTTGGTCCTGGCTTCCTTTTGAGGTCTTGAGTCGAGTGCCTCTCCTTGGGTCTCTGCCACAAACGCTGCACGCTGTTTATGCTAAAAATCTATGCCACATTAGTTCGTTGCCATCCAGGCCCAAGTTTGTTGTCGTTCGTTTTGTTTCGAGGGTCGTGTTCCTTCTGCCGCCGTTGTTGCGCTTTTGTTTGGCCCCTGTGCTTGGCTTTTTGAGAGGTGAAGAGCGCTTGAGGTTGGCAGCGAGCGAACAGGAAGCCGGCGGACAGACACGCAGTCAGTTAGACAGCCAAGACAAGGGGCAAATAAAGGGATACACACTCGGAGAAACGGGGATTTATTTTGTAAGAGTTCAAACCATTTCCTTGTTGATCCTTAAGTAAACCTAGCAAAGTTAGAGGTTAATAGGTGACACTAGCTTAGGACATGCTTAGTCTTGCAATATATTGCAATAGAACTCAGTCGAGGGGTTTCAGAAACCTCAGTTTTACATTCTCTTAAAACTTATAACCCTATATTAAATTCCTTGTTGCATTGCTTCCTTAAACCGTTTACAAAAAATTGAATTTTTTAAAATATTTATATATTATTCTAGGTTGGCTTTTTTATTGAGATCCTTTGAAAGCTTTGAAATAACTTATAAAGGTGTCGAAAAGTATGCAACAATCTTATTTATGTGTCGGAATTTTTTTGTTGCATACTTTTAGACTTTCTTAATTGAATTCTGTAGTTCCCCATTTTTTATTTTATATATTTTTCTCAGTGCAGTTTCAGTTCCAAGCAGTTAGGATTTCGTTAGCCGGCAAGGCCGCACAAATGGGACAAAAGAGCATCAGCGTAAGCGGCCATAAACAGGCCACCAACATCATGGAACAGAAAACAGGGAACATGGAGCCGTGTTCATGTAATTATGCGCCCGAGTCCTTCTTGTCAGGACAGCTCATGTTGATGCTTAACTCCGCTCCGGTTTATTTCCCTGCTCCTGATGCCAGTGGGCCCTGCAGGCTGCAAGTTGCTCCAAGTTGAGTTATTATCTCCGGCCAGTGTGTGTGTGGGGGCGTATTATTTCTAACGCCCGAACACCTGGGGCAAGATTCCCCACACATAACACTAACAGCTTGCCAACGTTGAGCTAATTAATAACCGTAATTAAGTTGACTTAATCTAAATTGCCATTTTTACATTGCTGTCTTGGTAAAATGTGCCACAATGTGCGATTAATGTGGGCCATCAGCATCAGATGCCTGGGCTCACTTAACAGGTCTTAAAAGCCAACTTAAAGCCACTGCGATATGCAAATGGT